CAATACCATATTTAAGAGAAAACCTGATATACTTGCACTTTACCTTAGTATTTCCAATTTATTGTTTTTCTATTACTGTTTCAATACTCCACTGCTCTCTGTAGCTAGTTTCATTTAATTTCGTGAAAAATATGATGTTTTCACCCCCTGTTTGTTGGTTTTTCATTTGTTTGTGGTTTAGCAAGATTGCACAAAATCAAAGAAATGAATTTTAACGAAACTTTGATGAAGGATGCAATATGGATCAGGAAAGACAAATAGTACAGATGTAAAATATATAGTTTAACAGATTTCTCACGGAATAATTCATGGATCTTGATGAGAGAAAATCTGGTACATTAAAAGAACCTATATCTGTGATGATTAAGAGTGAGAATATGGTGCAGGTTAATTGAATATTAGGGAACTGTTGGGCCTTGGCAGAGGTGTGTGTTCTACTAAGTACCATTGTAGTTCCTTAACAAACTGCTTCTAAAACATGATGCATTGTCTAGTACAACAAAATCTAGTCTATATAATTTTCTTTCCTGTCTGAAAACCTGTCCCTAAAAGCTTTTTTCAGATTATTCTATATAGCACCACAGCCTGTGTTAATCTCTCGGATCAAAATATTCTCTTTTATGGAATATTTTATCACAAGTTGTTATAAATGAATGGCTTAAATGTTCTTAGTGCAAACTAATGTATTTAGACATCAGCTATAGATCAAAATCTTAATGACTGAGGTTGCAAATTTAATGGCTCAACACTTGAAGCAAGTTGAAGTCAGACATTCTGCTCACAGATAAAAGCATAAAAATTATAAATATATATATATATATATATATATATATATATATATCCTTTTACTTTCACCAATGACTGATATGACACAATCTGCATGAGGATCAGTGTATATGAGGAAGGTGACAGACCAAACATCGTACGGAAATATAAACAGGGCTACAGATATATTTGCTTTGACTAATGATACCTTATCCCTCAGTAGTATCTAAAACTGGTTTCAACTCGTTCCCTGAGTCAAAGTGAGTGTTCCTCAGCAGTCCCTTACCTTTAGCAGCATGATATCGTTGTCAAACAGATATGGTCTGTTCGGGTAGAGCCTGATGATCTTTGAGACATTAAACCTCTGCTCAAAGCCCTCCACCTTGTAGATGTCGTGCTCACTCAGAACCACTTGGATCAGGTGTTCCCTAGAAGCCAAAAGACAAGATATTTTGAGGTACAGGTTCATCCTCTATCAATCACACAATGCATCACTTCTTCCAAACCTACAAAACATCTGTTCCAGAATATCACAATGTTCTCTCTATAGTATTAATGTGGATGAGCCTAACAAAGCACTGGAATTCAATTCACTGGTCATTGAGGAAATCTCTTGAATGCCACAGGTGTAAAAGTGTAATGACTTACGGCCTCCAGCAGTGGGCAGCAGACACCACCCATTGTTGGTGGATGAGGGTGCCTCCACAGAAGTGGGAGTTCATGAACTGGATGGAGGCCTGATACTTGATGGAGTAGGGGTTTACCTCTGCACCCCCGATGATCCTGCTCCCGTACACACCTAATGACCAAGGACACATAAAGACATTGTTCCATTCAGTGACATAAAACCAGCTCACAACTTTTAAAAGATTAAAAGTCAGCGTTGTTGTGTGTCCACAGTTGTTGTTGTGTCTCACCTGTCAGGTTAACAACAAGCAGAAGGAGCAGTGAGAGGTGACAGGGTGTAGTCAGGTTCATTTTAGTCACTGCCAACAAAAAAAAAAGAAAGAAGGTGGGTGAAAGAAAAGACTTGGACTGCGTCATACGTGACCCGCATTCACATGCATTCATTCCATTGTATGTCAGGTTTGTTTTTACATGTAAATGGGGGCACTTCACATTGATACCAATGCTAATCTATTGTATTAAGTTCTTATCAAAAGAAAATGTTTATTTTATTCCTAACTTGATGAAGTTCTGATTTATTTTATCATTAGATTAAAAAGGAACAATCAGTTAATGACAGTTACCAAACCAACTGAGGTCCAAGACAACGATATGATACAATACGACAAGAGAAGACAAGAAACACTCAGTAAGGGTAATAAATAAGTAAAAGAAATATGAAATATGAACACATTAATAACAACCGTAAACCTTTGAAATATGTACAATGGAATCAAAATGGAAACAGTGTAAGAGTGTTACACTTATATTGAATTTGCACGGATAAAAACTGATCATTGCATAGTTAAATATGATGATTGCAATCTGTACAGCATCACACTAAAATAATCATCCATTACAAAGTTGTCTCACCTTATCAAGTCAGTAAACAATCCAAGTCCAGCATCCACACACTGACGCACACTCTCTCACACACTGCTCTCATGCCGCGACATACAGTAAAACCTAAGGACGCTCAGGGTTCTTTTATACTGTAGCCATGCCTGTCACAGGCATTGTTCCTCCTCGCCATTGTCCGCCAAATATCCAAGTGTCTCTCTCATACACAGAAGCTACTGACCTAGTACAGGAAAAAAAAAACATCAAAAGCAAACTCTTAGCCCTCTTTATTATACCCGTCTTTCTAAGGCCTTTGTTCACACAGATCCAACCTATTGTCCAGTCGTGGAGACAAAGTGAAGCTTGATGAAGATGAAACCTAACAAGCCAGAAAAATGATAGAATATACTCGCCAGACATGTTTTTGCTGTATCCAGTGATGTTACAGAGGGCAGGACAAAAGCTGATATGATATCTGAGTATGATATCATCGTGAGACCTAACAAGACATAACAGTGTTTATTCTTTACATGCACAAGGAAAACCTCTTTCTCAGAAATCGTATTTAAATGAAGTGAGAATAACAGTGACGCAGCATATCATGTGTTCATATGTATATCTTTGCATCACTAGTTCTTCTGCTTTCCCATCAATCTTAGAGTAAACAGTAAAAAGGAGGAAATCTTTGTTGCATCCTGACCTGCTCATGTTGATCAGTCTCATCCAGCTGAGATGAACAGTGTCCTTCCTCTCCTCTTCCAGCCTCGTACATCTCCCCAGGTGTCACCCTCATGCTGCCGGTTCCCAGCAGGCTTTTTTTTTTCCACACATAAGGATGTTTGGTTTGTAACTCATAACCTTCTCATAGTCTACATGCACCCCCTAAGGTGTCATTCTAATTGTGAGGGTGAAAGGTGATAGCGTGCCCCCCCACTCAGGTGCAAAGCTGAGGTGACACATAAGATGCCTTTGTGTGTGTGTGTGTGTGTGTGTGTGTGTGTGTGTGTGTGTGTGTGTGTGTGTGTGGGAGAGAGCGAACGGCAGAGTGAGACCTTGCACATGCGGCGTGCTGAATGTACCACACTGCATGTGCCGTATATCCATATCATTGTTAAATCTGAGAGGAGCATGTGCGGCTGAAACGTAGACAGAACATCTGCACTGACCTTTGTATTTATATGAAAAGATTGAACACGTGACTGACGAAATCCCTATACCTCCACATTATAGATCTTTATTGTCATTATACTTAAGTAACATGGAATTGTAGGAAGCTTCTTTCTCCAGACAAGATGTATAAAAGTTTAATGATGTAAAGAGATATAAGCATTAAATGGCCTATTTACAAATACTGCAAGATTTGTAGACACTTTGTTGTGCCATAGTTGGCATAGCACATGCGTGTTACTGGCCATGACTGAGTCACAACAGCTGGACACTGAAACTAAAGAAGATAAATGGAATTTAGATTCAGCTTTATCACTTCCATGATACACGTTACAGCGTGCATGGGAGCGAAATGCCGTACTCTGCAGGTCAGAGTGCAGGTCCCATTTCAAAACAACACAAGACACATTAAACATATTATCTACATGACAAATAAATGCTAATTGAGCATATCTGTGTTGGAGGGATAGGGTAAAGTGTCATAATTTAGTTTCCATTCATGTTATTATTACATCTGCTTTTCCTACTGTGACATATCAAAATGTTGGCTGTGAAAAAGGCCTATTTTGACATTTATCGTTGACAAAGCCACAGGCTGACATTACAAAAAAACCACTAACAACAACAACCTAGTTTCTCGTGAACCTGTCTTTAGGATTTCTGCCTCTACCTCCAACAATTTAGATCAATAAAATATAAGTTTCAACATTTGATCACAATATTGATATATATCATGACCTAGTGCATTTTGAGAGACAGTATATGTGTTTTATGTTTCTTTTTAGCTTTTCCCATAATGGCGGAATAATGTGAGAAATCAAAGATGTAACACTTTTGTATACATGTTCAATTAATTTATATTGGATTGTGATATACTGTGCATCATCATATCATGCAACCCTATAGCTTGTAGGTAAATAGATTAATGGAGAATATATCTAGAAAATTTCTTTTTATTGTAAAAAACAACTTCTGATTTATCACTTGCATATTTCTGAAATATTCTGCATCGTTTCCTCGTCTGCATTAAAGAAATAGAAGACATAACCTCATGTTTGAAGGTGAGTATCTGTAATGTTGGGTTAGTTTTGGTCCAGGAAACACCTGACCACAGGAGGCCACACAAAGCCGTCTCTCCCATTCTACCGAGTCAAGCATCAATTATTCAGCTTGCTCTAAATGTGGGACAAGAGGAGGTCAGGCGAGATTATCCTCCCATGCTGAGTGATGCTGACTTGCCAGAGGGCTGATGATGATGATGATCAGAGTGATACTAATAATAAGAGTTATTACTGCTGAAGTGGATTTGATGATGACTGATGAGTCAGTACAGAGGAACACAGAATAGCTCTGCGTTGTCTTGGCTCAACACAGAGCTATTCTTGTGCACACAGTGGGCCATTGAAACATTTCAGCACAGATAAGCCTGGATGATGACACAGACGGAGCGTGCTGATACAGTATGGATGAACCCGCTCGGCACAGTACCCCGTGTTGCCATGGCAACAATGTAAAGCCCTTTCGACAAGTCTGGAGGGTCAGGGAGAGGAGTTGCGATAGTACCAGGATGGGAGGGGGAGTGCTGAGCAGCTTCTGAAGGTGAACTTTGTTGCTCTTTCACATTTCTTGTCCTTTTCAATCAATGCAACAGTGTTAAACCCTTTGTGTTAAAGGATGAACGATGAAATTAAAACCTTTTTTTCCCCTGGAAGAAACTGAGTCCTCCTGTTTTCAGAGAGAAGTTGATGCTCAGACTGGGGCAACCAGGAGCGGAGGACACCGGTTGTTTGGCTGCAGGGATTTGAATGCTGGTATGGTGTGTTGCTTCCAGAAACCTCTACAGCGATGATGAACCTCATCATGTGTTCATGTGTTGTGCTGCTGGACCTCATGACAGTCCACAGTGAGTACATGTTTTGTTCACTTTTGGGAAGAACATACGTATATGCTTTGCTTATTTGTAAATGTTGGATTCTTTTGCATTTCAAGGAGACATCCAGTTTCCGAATTCCCTTAATAATTAGCAACCAGTGGACTGTTCGACTTTTTAATTTAACATGTCTGTTTCTTCAGTTGAAAGGACAAAAGTTTTTAAGGTTTGTTCCTGAAACCTTTTTCGTCTTATTTGTTAAGATCCTCTTTACGTCCCTATAGTCATCAATAAAGAAAGTCTGGAAAAAAAAGAGAAAAAAGGCAGACTGTGGTCTTCACAGGATAAACACGTCTGATTCAGGCTGAATGAAATGATTGGTTGGCATACTTTACACTAACCGAACTGCCTGCCTACCTCTGGTGTGCATGACCGGAGTCGGAGAGACATACTGAAGTACTGTAGAGATGATAGTAAGAAGTTAGCAAGTGAATCATGCAAAAGCAGTTGTGAGTCAGTGCACGTCCAAGAGATTTGATGAGAGGGCATATGGGGTGGGGGGGAAACTGCAAACTGTAATTTTGAAACTTTGGTATTTCCATAGTTTTAACAAATGAGATGATAATAACTTTTGCTGTGATGGTAGATTTTGTTAGTTAACTTCCCCGGCCCATGTATCTAAGCTAACCAAACCAGCTTCCAGCTTCAGTTTCATATTTTCTGTATTTATGAACAAAATAGCTGCATCTTTTAAATTGCTTTCCTTTATTTTGCAGGATCAACAGGATAGTCTGTGATTACTCCTTTTCAGTGATTATTTGAAATTCACACCATGTCATAATGTATAGCCTGTAGGCAATGTATAGAATACTTTACGTCAGAGAGGTACACTCTAATGTTTTAGAGCGTGAGGTGGTGGTATGAGAAAGTTATATTGGATTACATTCATTACACAGTGGCCTCCCAGGTGACAGAAAACCCCAAGGTGTGGTAAATAGGAAGGGGTGGGGGGCTCGCTCTTTATTTTTCTCTTTTGTTCAGTGAATGCTCGTTGTGATTTATAAGACTGTTTTTTAAGTGTCCCTGAAATCCATACCTGGTGAGCTGTTACTTGTAGGGTGTTTTGGAAATTTTGTGGTTTAGCTGAAAACGTTACTGTACAATTTCACTTCTTGGTATGAAAAATGACAAATTTGTGTCGTCGGATATGGAATTTAATCTCCATTGAATCTCTCTGCTTATTATCCATATATTTGGTGAGTTGTTACCTTCAACTTCAACAACTGTTGGTCAGAACTGAAGTGACTTTTCGAATGAGAGGTGAAAACATCTAGCAACTCCAGTTGACTTTGGTATAGTACCTCTGAATTTCCTTTGCTGTATATGAGTCTTCTATTAATCCATCCCTTATCTATTGTGCTTAATCTGTAAGGTTTCCAAAGGACTGGAGCCAACCCCAGCTGTTCCCCTGCTCATCACAGAGATATACAATTGTTCACACTACAGTCAATTTAAACTCAAGTTAATTTAACCATGATCTACATTTCTTTGGATTTGGGGAGGAAGACATACTACCAGGGGGGAAAAAAATCCTAATAATGTTCACAGACTCATTAAATCAATCTGTCACAGCTCCTTCTTCCTCCATCTCTTGTCAGTGTTTGTTTTTCCACACAGGCCGTGTGCTCATGCAGGGACGTATCGTAGGTGGTTCCACTGCTGCGCCAAACTCCATCAAATACATTGTGTCACTGCAGAGCACCAGGGGCCAACACTTCTGTGGTGGATCATTGGTTCACAGGTACTGGGTGCTGACAGCAGCACACTGTAACATCGGGTAAGGATTTTATTATAGCTGCCCTCAGTAAGCTGTTAAGACTGTTTTCCATTTCCATGTTAAGAAGGTTACATGTTTCTTTATGGTTTAAAATAGAAATGTAATGCCTGTGCTATGGGCCTATCAATGGAAATGTTGGCCAGTCTGTCAGTCACTTTTTCCTCAGAATCAAATACCTCAACATCTGTTGGATGGATTACCTTGGTATTCATGCTCCCCAGATGATGAATCTTAATGACTTGAGTGATCCCCTTCTTTGGTTTATGAGGAAAAGCAAAATATAATGACAATCAGATCAGCCTCATCTCATCGGAGGGCTGATTGGCAAATGTTAGCATTCTAACACACCAAACTAAGATGGTGAACATGATGAACATGACAGTTGCTAAACAACATCATGTTTGTCTTGTCATTGTGAGCATGTTACCATGCCAGCATTAACATTTAGTTCAAAGCACCGCTGTGCCAATAGCCGCCAGCTTGGCTGGAGACTCAATGACATTCCTCTGGCATTCTTTCAATACTCTGTAGAAGTCACTCTGTAGAGGCTAAGTTGGCATAATTGTATATAGTGAGCAGATGGTCCCAACAGATGCCTAAAAGCAAGCCTCCATTCTGCTACGACTAACATCAAAATGATACTGCTTGATCATGATGCACAGTAAACCTCTTTACAGGGAAGTCAAACAGCACACGTATACAGTCGAGCACGCTGACCTTGGTACATCATCTTGGTGTGTGTGTGTGTGTGTGTGTGTGTGAGAGAGAGAGAGAGAGAGAGAGAGAGAGAGAGAGAGATCTTTTCTGGATCCAGGAAATTGGCTGTATTTCTGTTTTACTGTCCCAGCCTTGTCTGCACACAGTAAGCTGTTCCCTGGCAGAGAAACACCTCATTGCTTCACACGGTCACCTATGGGCACACTCTGTGACTTTGTAAACTGGCCATAATTATTAATGAATGTCATTCAGCTTTGCCCCCGGCTTCCCTGTTTAATAATACATCATCTGATTCAGTAGAATTACCACAGAGAAGATAATAAAACTGTGCAGATTTTTCCACCTCTTTCTTAAAATCAGATCTCAAGACCATGATCTGTCTTGTGCTATGTTAGTTGATGGAAATGATATAACATGAAATGAATTGTCTTCTAGGGCAGAACACATGATGATTGTGGCGGGAGACTACATAGTAAATAACTTTGAGGGTAATGAGCAGTATGCTAAACCCCACAGGCTGGTCACCCACCCCCTCTACAACAGGAGCACTAACAACGCTGACATCATGCTCATTAAGGTACTGCAGAAACAGAGATCTGGACATACAGCGATGTTACTGGTGTTATCAGTGTCTATCTCATTGTCACCAGTCTGCTTTGCTTGATGTCCTGTGTTTCACCAGTCTACCATTCGTCTCTGCAACCCAGTAGGCAAAACAACATCATTAAATCCACGTAAAATACTTGACCTAATTTTGGAGGTTAAAGGTCATTGTTACCTTAAAATAAATAAATAATAGTAAATACAACATCTCAGAAACACCTTGAGGGGAGTCAAATTTGGTGCAAAAGTTTAGTTGGATTCAAGGGTCACCTGATATTTGGTGGCTGAAGGTCAGAGGTTGAGGTAAGTGTGACCTCATAAAGCCCTGTTTGGCTCGTGAACATGTTTTATTAAAACACCTCAAGAGAATCCTTTCAAATTTCATAGAAATATTCACTTACACTCACAGATTAACTGACTACATTTGAGTGGTCAAAGGTCAAGGTCATAGTGGCCTCACATGTTTTTGGCCTCTAGTATGTAGAAAGCACCTCTCACATTGAAAGTCATCATTTGATCTACAGACAATATAGAACATAGTGATGAGTGCAGCTTTAATAAATGTTAATATATTCAGAATTTGCTGATACTGTCACACACTCACATGGAAACTGTTCTGATTTTCTGTGCAGTTGCGGGCCCCCATGGTGCTGAACAAATATGTGTCACTGGTGCCTCTTCCCAGGCAGGGGACGGGTGTAGTTGAAGGCCGGGTGTGTCGGGTGTCTGGGTGGGGCTACAATAGTCTGGGTGAAGGCCAGGCCCGCTTCACCCTGAGGACGGTCACAGTGCCCATTATTTCAACTGCAAGATGTAACAGCAGTGAGTCCTTTAATGGCAATATCACAGCAAACATGATCTGTGCTGGCTACAGGACTGGAGGAAAGGATGCATGCAAGGTACGGGGATCGAATCCTTTCAAACCTTCTTTCATTAATGTCAAGCAATTATTTTAAACAGTTTCAGCTCCGAGATAAAGTGGGTGTTGCGATTTGTCCAATCTGGTCCATAGTGACCAACATAATCATCTGATCTTTGAAAGGCCATTAAATCTGTTATTAAAATAATAAATTCTCCAAGGCACTGGCCATGGTTCCCTGTGTATATCAAATAGCACATCAGCTCACATTAGAGCGAAACAACAAAAGTTTTTGGGAAGCTCATCCCCATGACACTCGGGAAGCTGTTCATCATGTCAGCGTAGTTCACCTACAAGCTTTTATTAAACAGACGTGGTGGTCCACCCTGAGGAATTGTATTATGATAGCTGCAGAAGAGCCAACAAAGCAACCCTGAAATAGCACCGGGATAGAAAACCTTGCAGTGGATTAAAGGTACAGTGACGGACATTTGTTGGCACAAACAAACTGCGTGTTCGGATTTGGCTATTTGAATCTCTGCCGCTGCCTTTGTTGTGAGAAGAAAATTACAAAATTATGAAATTCAATGTGTGATATAGCGATATGCTGTATTTGACCTAAAGTAAGGAGTTGATTTACCAATTAAAAGTGTTATATTTAATGCCACAGTAGGCAACTTTGTGTGTTTGCATTTACAAGTAGAAGAAAGATGATTACAGAAGAGCATGTGTCATTATAATAGGGTTAAAAGTGTCGGCCACCTCAAATTCCCTTATCCCTCATAAAAAAGTGAATTTAGCACATATTAAACAGAAGATAAATTCACATTTTGAGGCCTGCCTGGTTTTCAGACTGTAAGTAAAATATTGATTTTCAACAGAAATGGGGATATTGCGGAAATTGCATTTTAAAATGTGAGTTTTCATGAGATTTTCTCATTCAATACATTTATTTTGATAGATTTTTGATTTCACATTGAATATTTGAATAGTTTAAATGTATGATAGTAGTCTTCGGTGATCTCCCACATAGAAGCAACCTGATGTGGCTGGGTCATCTGAGCCACTGCAGTGGTATGGTTGGAATGGTTGCAGCCACCACGGCCCCAATTCTCCGACTCTTTCTATCATTTAGTGTATCCTGTCAACAAAGACATCAAAGCAGCTTGACGACATGTGACATGATGAAGGGTGTGGTCTTGTCCTCGCAGGGTGACTCTGGCGGCCCGTTGGTGTGCGGGGGACGTGTCTACGGTGTGGTCTCCTGGGGCAACGGCTGCGGGGATGCTAAGTTTCCGGGAGTCTACACGGTGGTGTCTAAATTCCGCCGGTGGATAGATAAAACCATCTATGGGTCCTACTTCCGCTGCCCCAGATATAGAAACGTATAAAACTAAGATGATTCAAGTTTTATGTGTATAGCTGGTTCTGTGTGAACGATGCAGAGCTTCATGGGATAGATCTTTAGATTTAGTTGTGCAAGAGGCGGATATGCTTTCAGTAATGATCTGATTTTTCTGATAACGTTTTGAATAAAGGTGATCCATCTCATATTCTCAGATTAGCTGTAAACAGTGCATCTCAGCCAAGATCCACTTCTTGGGGCAGTTTATAAACCTGCTGTTCATGCGGCATTCCAGTCCTTATTATTGAACTTTAGTATTTGTACCAAAATGGCAATAAATATTCAGATTGAAACAATGTGTGAGATGATTTGTGTCAAAATGATGGTGAATAAAAATGTTTAGTTGGTCTGGCTCTAAAGAGGGCCTATTGCATTTATACCTGAATGTATAGCAACATGTAAACTAAACTGGGCCAAGAATGTGAGCTTTACTTCCATGACTCATCACATTGAAAGGTTTATGAGCCAAACGAGAACACATGGGTGGAGCCATTGGAGAAACAAAGCAAACCTTCCAAAGTATTTTGGGTCATGCACCAGGCAAAACATTTTTATTCAAAAGACTGGAGGCCATCAGTCCGGTGGTACGTGTTTCCTATTGTACATCTGTGTTCTTTCAATTGGGTTTCCAGGTTTGTTAGTTGTGACGGGTACTTGAGACAAAATGAACCCATGAATGCACGTCTCTGTGTATTTAAACCGCTATTTTGTGTGTGAATGTGGCCATAGGGACAACCAGTAGCTCTCCAGTTGATCTGAGGCTGCTACATACAGCTGCTCCTCATTGGGGAGTTCAAACCATTGGTGCTTTGGGAGGTTTTTACTCAGAATTTCAACTTTGTTGCTTTATTACTCATTACTATTTTATGTTATAAATAAATTCTTGAAACTCAGTTTTCACTTGAAGTGACAGATCTCCACATGTGCAGCTGTAAAAATTGTTTCTTCATGTTTGTGTCCACTGTGCAAAAGTTACCCAGGTTTGCTGTAAAATGCATGAAAATCTGAAAACAAAGAAAACACAACACAGAAATGATGTGTATACAACCACATGTGAAACTGAGAGAGATGCTCTGATATGAAAGGTGAGCCTCTGAAAAAAATCATGGCTTCTGTGGGTCCACGGAGAGTAGGTGTGTCACAGCTGACCCCCTACGTGAATAGCTGATGGCATATTCAAGTTAGTTGTGCTGCGGGCGTGGATATCACCTTTCATTGTATTGTCTGTGTAATGATATTTGATTAAGTTCTCCTGAGAAAGAGATTACAAGATGTAGACCAATTCAATCACTGTCTTTTACTGCACATGTGTTGTGTAAGCTGTTCCCAGACACAGACTTATGTTAACAACACAGACTCCAGTAAACCCACTGAGAGTTTGTCGCAAACCTAAAGAAGATCCCAGGGGGGCTTCGTTTAACAAAGCAAACCGGTTTCCATACCACCGTCTGCTCTCTGCCGGCCTCAGCAGAGGGTGCCTTGTGATTAAAAGGCTGAAACGTCCATTGATGCTAAGGTACACAACTGGTGATATGTTCCTAACGTCCGCTGGTGGTCTCTGATATCTGCTGATGATCCTTCACATTTGCCTGTGGTTGGTAATGTATCATCAACCTAGTGCAGAAGAACTCACGTGGGATATCCACAATCCAGTCCCATGCTCTAAAATGAAAATTATTGCTGAGACATTACCATCATCATCAAGAAAATTTAGACTGAGGTCATTATAAAGGTATTTTTATGGCTGGTTAGTTTGTTTTCTTTCACAATGGGGAGTTTATATGAAGATCAAAAAGTGTTTTTGATTTCTGCAAAACACAAAGGTCTCGATATGGTGTTATTTTGGACAATTTACATGAGTAAACCCTGCAACACCCTCAAATCTGGAAATAGATTATTAAAAAAGACACCAGTTCAAGTTTTTACACAAGAAATACAATTTAATGTGTTTCCTGGTGCAAGTCCCTGACCTCCAAGTTTGACATTTTTAATCTCCATCCAACCCTTTAGAAGTGTTGGTGAAAACAGTGCAGGTCCTCAAGATGTGCACCACTGGGCCCCAAACTCACATCCTCAGTCTATGAAAATACTGCCATCATCTGGTGAGCTCTGACATTCTTTAAACCCCCTTAATGACAACATAAATATCTACATTTTATTTTTTAAATCAGGTTGGAGGATTTTAGAGTGGCGTAAAACGACATTTTCCCACAAACCTGACTTGGCTCATATTTGTACGTGCCAACTTTCAATAATAAATCAATCGTCATTTGTTTGATTTGCCTCCCGGATCACGGAGAGTGGAGCATTCGTGTGCCACGACTCCACGCTAGAAGCTTCTCTGACTGGGCTGCAGCAGAAAGAAAACCCCCCGTGCAGCTCCCTCACCAGCAGGTCTCCCCGGGATCCGTGTTTTGCATCGCTCCTTGATTTGCATTTCTCCCTCCGTTTTTCTCCGTGCGTCGGGTTCAGCCGCTCGAAACCAGCGGGCCCTCCAGCTCCACGGCTCCTCTCGTACGTGCGCCTCCATTTCCAAGCGATACGCAAAGAGAAAGAGGGAGAAAAAAACTGCAACAACCGCTGGAAATGTTTTGAATTATGTTGCCGAGGCTGCACCAGCGAGGAAACTGAGGACATTTTTTTTGCGTGTGAATTGTATTCTTTATTTCTGCTGCGCACCTTACACGAAGACAGACACGTGTCTTCGGGGTAAACAGAAAGGGCTCGATCGTGTCAGCAGATTGCATTGTTTCCCTCCACCTCCATTTGTTTTGTTGTGTAGACAGACGACGAAGAGTTCAAGCTTTGGCGACGCGCTATACACATTTCAGTCCGTGCGCCTTGGTGAGAAAAGACGCATTTTGGAGATGTCGGAAGTGCTGCCTTTCAACGAGGAGAAAATGAGTCATTATGGAAATGAGGGCGACGAGGGACACCTTTCCTTCACCTGTCGTCTTCAAGACACCAACAACTTCTTCAGTGGCTCACAGAACAAACGTCCGCCGAAGCTCGGACAAATAGGCAGGAGCAAAAGGGGTAATTATATAATTTAAGGCGTTTTTTCCCTTGTGGATGTGGATGTGTTGAATGCGCACATATGGACCAGAGGGGATGATGGCACCGTGACATGCTCCCCATCAGAGTGCATGGTCAGAGGAATGGTCTTTCGTTTGCATGTGTGCGTTTTTAAATCTTCTGTTCGCATTGCAACACAACTTGGATGCGCAGTGCGTGCTCTTAAACGCCTCTGAACCTCGCTCCTCATAGTTGTGCTGAGCGTCCCCTCCCCAGTGAACGTGTGGTGTGATTAAGATTGAGATGCAGAGTGATTATGATCTATTGTCTTTTGTGTTTGCACGATGAATCCAGACTGCCTGTGCTTTTGCTTGTGTCTGTCCTGATGAGAAGGCTCACTTGTGGTGGCACATACATGCACAGACACACACAGTTGCATGTACAGTAGTGCACACACACACACACACACACACTCTGCACAGACATGGATAAGAGGCAGACGTGTATATATTGCATCTGCAGGTGCGCTGCAAGAAGACATGCAGAAATTCAAATGTGCATCACACACACACACACACCCATGCTTATCTGTCTCGCTCTTATTCTTTCATGTATGCATACATCACTTCTGCTCATACAGCGCAGTGCTCATGGTCCAAGGCTTTAATGTCCCCGACCCCCCCCCCCTGTCAGTTGATGGGGAATTTTCAAGACGCCACACCAAGACGAGCCCCCCTCCTCTCTCATTAACTCTCTCCCCTGTCATCCACAGTTGTGATCGAGGATGAGAATGGCGACAACGAAGCCCTGAAAAATGGAACAGAGAAGACCCCGCCAGAGGCTTAGAGAGCGCTCGTATCACCATCCCCCTAAAGACACTCTTGAAACCAATTTTTTATGGCGATATTTACTAGTTTTAATCCAAAGACACTGTATATAAGCACTTTCTCTCATGTGGCAGCAAGCAGCACTTCCACACCCTCCTCTCCCTGTCAGTCATCATGGCCATCCGGGTGACACACACTGGCAGGGGCAGGAGATGGCAGCGAAGGAGACCCCCAGGTGGACCCCCCCCCCCAACACACACACAC